TCAGATTGAAGAAGTTGGTAGAATTCTTCTATTTCATCTTCACTGGCTTTAGTGGTTGGTGCATAAATTTGAATAATAGTGGTATTAACTGGGCTTCCCTTTAAGGTGTATGGACATTTTCCTATCACTTAAAGCATTGTACCTCATGACTGATCTGGATATGTTCTTCATGAAACAATTACAGTAGCAAAAGATAATTCTTCAACAGTTGTTTTTATCAATTGGATAAAATTAACACCTTTTAGAACTCAGTGAAAATAGAACAACTTTGAACTTTTCTATAGTGTTGACGTTATTGAACTATTAGAGGGATTATAGCACTGGTGGTGAGTGAGCCTTTGGGCTGGATATTTGACCTCACTACTGACCTGGGACTTGAGTGAACTATTTAATTTCTCTTACCTGTTGTCTTATCTGTAAATGGAAAGAATGATAGTAGCTGCCTCATAGGTTTGGTTTACAGATTAAGTGACATAATTGATATTATTTTCTGTCATGAAGTAAAAGCTCAATATATGTTATTTAAATGACTTGATTAATGTAATCGTAATTATATATCCTTTTTTCCCTCAGATATTCAGAAGTATATTCCATGCCATCAGCTTTTTAGGTGAGTAATATTGTTTGGTGTTGTTTTTGTTGTTATGTGCCACAGACTCATAGCCACCTTGTATTAGAGTAAGTAAATGGTCCATCATGAAAATTATTCTCTGCAAGTGAAATAATTTTAAAATTTAGCAACATATCTTGTTAAGTACTGTCACTAGGTCAGAATCATAGCAACCCTGTATAGAGTTTCCAAGAAGCAACTGGTGAGTTAGAATCACCAACCTTGCCTTGAGGTCAAGTGCTTATCTTGTGGTGCCACACCAGGACTTCATACAGTGGTACTGATTAAAATAAACAAGAAGTCTTTGTAATACCTGAAAATTCACCTGTGCCTTGTTATTCTGTCCAGTGGTTCTTTCTCATGCTCATTGTCTCTCTAGCTTTTCTCCACTGCCTGTCCCAGATACCACCTTGAGCTTGATAATTACTTTTCTCTCTCTATTATACATAGTATAAATGGAAAGACACAGTCCTCATAGATCATCAACAGCAGCCCCCTTTCCCCTGTCCTTTTATTTGTTTATTTACCAAATATTTCCTCATTAATCATTGTTTTGTTATCTTTTGCTTATTAACCAGTTAAGTTATTCACTTAAGCTTCTTCCTTTTGCCTTCTAGGGTAGAAGCTGTTCGTAGGTCTACAAACCTAAGAACTCAGGCTTTCGCCATGGAAACTCAAAAGGGACTAAGAACCTGTTAGTCCTAATGCACTGTATTTTAAAAAACTTTGTTGAGGTATAACATACAAATAGAAAAGTACAGATAAATGCATTTTCACACACAAAATCTGTGTAACTAGCATATAGTGTAGTTATCCTGGTGTGGCAATGTGGGCTAATGTGTCAGACTGCAAAGCTGTTTGAACTGCAAGGTCAGCAGTTCAAGCTCACCAGCTGCTCCTCGGAAACCCTATATAAGGTCACTATGGGTTGGAACTGACTCGATGGCACTTAACAACAATGTAATGAATCCATTGTACAAAAAAAAATCAGTATTCCTATCTTATGGTCACTGTGTCTGTGTACATATTAAGGCTTTGTAAGAACTATTTTGGATCATACGGTAAAGTTGGGAAAGATGTATAGTGCGTGATGGAAGCAAAAAACAGTCTGTGGTCTTAAACTGCTATATATACTAGTAAAAGGTACAGTTCCTATAGTGCTTTATGAAAATGGGCATATAAAAATCTATGCTGAATGACTGAGGAATTCTTGGTTAGAGATTCATAAAAGGCACTCCTTTGAGGGATTCTGTGAATCAGCAAAGGGAGAATGAAAAAAAGGGACTGATTCAATATTGGTAACTACCTGAATGATAAAAATATCAACCCATTGCCACTGAGTTGATTCAGACTCTTAGTGACCCTCTATAGGGTTTCTGAAAATGTAAATCAGCAGGAAAGCAGCCAGCCTCATCTTTCTGCCACAAAGTGGCTGGTGGGTCTTAACTGCTAACCTTGTGGCTATGGAGAGTAGACAAATGCCTAACCCACAGTACCACCAGGGCTCCCTGCTTTAAGGTAATAATAAGTCCTAGTCTTAGAGCTGCAGAAATGATGTTTATCATCATTCAGTTAGGAGCAACCCATGCCTTAACCTTTTAGATTTATCAAACAAAGGGCTTAGGAGGAGGGAAGGCATAAAGAGAATAACTTGAAATGGTCATTACATCTTTTTAGCTTAACTACATAAAAGGTCTAGAAAGCTAATGTTTTACCTAAGGCCAAAGGAGCTCTGGTAGCGTAGTGGTTACGAGTTGGGCTGCCAACCTCAAGGTCAGCTGCTGGAAAAAGATGAGGCGTTCTGCTCCCATAACTATTTATAGCCTCGGAAACCCCGTGCAGGGTCACTATGACTCGGAACTGACTCCACGGTACTTAACAACAACAAGGCCAAAGAGCTCGTTAATGGTACATACAGAATGAGACGAATCAGATTTCTGAGTACGAACCCAAAGCTCTTATTATAGCATGCTGTTCCCCAGTTTTATGCTCTGATAAAAGCATTGGCACAGTATGACCCCAGTGACCTGTTTTTATATGACCCTCAAGCTAAGTTAGACTCCTTGTATGGTGCTGCAGGATCAGCATTTGACTGCTAACCACAAGGTTGGAGGTTGAAACCCACCAGGGGCTCCTTGGAAACCCTATGCAGGGTCTCTATGTGTCAGAACTGACTTGACAGCACTTAACCCGCTAAGTAAGATGGTTTCTACATTTTTTAACTTTCAAGAAAATAAAAGAAAAGGAATATATACAACAGAGATCATATGTGGTCTGCAAAGTGTTTCGTTCTGATGTACATAGGGGTCACTGTGGGTTGGAGCTGGCTTGATGGCACATAGTAACAACTTTTACTAAAAAAGCTTTCCATTCCTGCTCTAGTACATTGTAATTGATTTGCTTAACTCAGAAATTTGGGGACGTACCTAGGAAAGAGCCCCCCCCAAAGCCTAAAATGTAAAGTCACTTTAAAAAAAACAGTGCAGTGTACATTTCTACTGCACAGTGTATCTGTTTCTATTTTTAAAGACCCCTGTTTCCTTCCTAAAAACTTCCAGTAAAATTGGTGTTTCCACAGATGATGCACACTCTTACCTTACAGCTTCCTATATTCCCTGGTATACTACCTATGACCCATTTGGAGAAGTTAAAAACTGGACCATGCTAGAGAAATAAGCGGATCGATTCTTATATTTAGAGTTTTCCTTTTGGAATTATAAATGGGTAAAAATAGAGAGACCAGTTTGATCCCAGCTAATAACCACCTTAGGAGTTGGTTGCACAGTGGTTAAGCATTGGACTTCTAACCAAAAGTTTGGTGGTTTATACCCACCATCTGCTCCAAAGGAGAAAGATGAGGCCATCTGCTTCCATGAAGATGTACATCCTTGGAAATTCTGTGGAGCACTTCTTCTTTGTCCTCTTAAATTCACTGTAAATTAGAATACACTTGATGACCGTGGGTTTTACATAACCTCCTGTGGGAGGTAGAACAAATTAACTTTTTATTGTGAATTGAGTGAAGGTTTACAGACTAGATCATCAGTTTTACATTCAACAATTGTACACTTTGTTTCATCTCAATGATTGCAGTCCCTTCCATGTAACCACAGTTACCCTGCTTCCTCCCTCTGGTTCCTATTTCCATTCCACCCACCTTCCCATCCCTTCTCACCATTGTCCTTAGGAAAATGTTGCCTTTTTGATTTTGTATGATTGAGCACTCCATTGTGGAATACTTTACTACTCTTGTTCACGTTATATACCTATCTACAAACTAGTCCACAAGAGTGAGTTCTTTTGCAGACCTGAAAGGCAGCCAAGGACACTTTTCAGCTTCCTCCAGACTCTTTCTGACTAATAAACCTGGTCTTTTTTGTTGTTGTTGTTCAACATTTTCTCCTACTCTGTCTGGGACCTGGAACCTTCTTATTGATGCCTTTCAGATCAGTTGTTAGTGGTGGTTGGGCACTATCTAAGAACACTTTATTTAGTCTGTTTTGAACACTTTATTATGTCTAGTTTTCCAATATAATTTTTAGTGGGAAACTTTTTTTGTAAGCTTAAAAACAGAATTTTGCCTATTTGCCGGGGACCAGCCTCGACATAGGGGTTCGGTTCACGAGGAGGAGATACCTGGCAGCGGTAAAGATATATCAAGAACGCACAGAAAGAGACAAAGAGAGAGACAATGAGGCACCCCAAAGCCAGGGTGGATACATCACTGGTGGGCAGACTTGGGAGTACAGGCATTGTGGCCTCTGCAGGCAGCAACTCACTGCCCTGCAATCTTTACTGCATGCCCTCCA